CTCCCTCCCTCCCTCCCTCCCTCCCTCCCTTCCTCCCTTCCCTTTCTTGCTTTTTTTGTAGTGTGTGTATGTGTGTACATGGGCATGTGTGTGTATGTATTTGTGAAGGCCAGAGCTGATGTTGACTGTCTCCCTCAGTTGCTCTCCACTTTTTTATTTTTTGAGATGGTTTCACTAGGCTGGTCTGGAACTCACTATGTAGACCGGGCTGGCTTTGAATTCACAGTGATCTGCTTGCTTCTGCCTCACAAATGCTGGGGTTAAAGGTGTGCCATGACTCCTGGCTTTGAGCTTAGTTTTTTGAGATAGTCTCTCACTGAATATGGAGTTTGGATGGCCGGCCATTGAGCCCCAGGGATCCTCCAATTTCGGCACCTACCTGTCCCTCATTACTGGGATTACAGACATGCTCTCAGGCCTGGGTTTTTACACGGGTCCTGGGGTTCTGAGCTCAGGTTCTCAATGTTTGTATGATAAACACTTCACTGACTGACTGATCTCCCCAGCCCCTGCTTCGCAGTTGGAATCTGTATGTCTTCTTACAAACCTGAAGAACAGTTGAGTTGCTTGGCAGCCTTGAATTCCACTTGCCTGCCCAGCCTGGGTCCTGTGAACATTTGTTCTTCTTGATCATCTCATTGGTTGAAAGCCACACCATTTAGAGTTCTGCTGGATTATGAGCAGATTCTTTCTAACACGCCTTCTTTGGCAAGCTCCATGCTGCACCTTTCTGTGGCAGATCTCTAAGTCAGAGGGATTGCTGGTGAGCCCAAGGGCGCTGTGTGTAGAGATGGGGTCTCAGGTGACCTATACACTCAGGTACTTGAACTTGGAGCGGTATGAGAGGCGACAGGAAGGCCTCATAGCACCAAAGTATCCTTCCACCTTCTCCATCTCTAAGAGTCAGCTTCTAGGGCTTTCTACAATTCAGTATTTGTGAAAGCAATATATCTGTATCATTACATTGCTCTACTCAAATCTGGTACTCTGAAGCCTGACCGCCAGTACTTGGCAAGACTCCTAAGCAGTGACAGATATGCACGTGCAGCTAGCTTTAACCCACGTGTTTTGAGAGGGGTGTCTGCTGCGTATGTGAACGGTGTGGAGCTGGCTGTGGTTTTGACTGCTGCCTTGCTTGCCTCTATGTTCCCAGGTCTTTTACATTGCGTCATCTACACGGATTCCTCGCTGACCCAACTCCCCGCACGTGCTTCGGCATAACCATGACTGTTTCTCATGCAGCATTCCTGGGAGTGTACGCCCGAGCCTCTGGGTTTTCGACGGAAGCAGCGATGTCTTCTGGCACTGAAGGCGCAGCTCCGCACTCTCTGAGAGATGCATTGCTAGAAAAGCCGCAAGGGTCTCTGGTGTGTGCTGTTCAAATGGATTCCACGGGCAGTGGCGTCTTAACGTTTGCTTCACGGCAGCAGCCGTGTCTTGTGCACCGTGCGCCTCAGGGCAGCGCTGAGCTCTGTGGTCACGTGCACAAAGCGAAATGATGCATTTTATCAGCCGCAGGATTTAGGGCTATACTTTTTTAATGAGAAAAATCGAAGCCTCGTTCTTTTCCCATGCACGTATGAATTGTCGTTGATCCTATTTCTGTATAAATGCCATTTTCTGATCTCAGTTTGTATGTGTTGTGACCATTGTGGTTTTTTTTTTTTTTTTACGATTGTGTTTGCGAGAATTGTGGGTTATATTCAGTCGCGTGTGGGTTGTTGGTTTAAAGTCAAGCATGTTTTATTTTATAGGTATGGGAGTCTATGGGAGTTCTGATGTCTTTACTTCTGAACATTTAACCAGCGGATATTCATAGAATTAGCTTTTTATTATTCTAAGATGAAAGCTTCTAGTTGAAAATACAGAGCACTTAGAGGGCACTTGTTCTCCATCAAATTGATGAGAAGAACATTAAGAGCCCAGGAGTGTTTGCCCAAAGGACTCAGATAGGCAGTTTGCAGAGGAAGGATTTAACCACCGAAAGACTATCCACAAAATCTTGACTGCACTGGCTGGTTTTCTGTTAACTTGACACAGCAAGGGTCACCTGAGAGGAGAGAACCTCAGTTGAGAAAATCCTTCCCTGAGATGGGGCTGCAGGCAAGCTGTTAGGACATTTTCTTAATTAGTGATTGATAGGGGAGGGCCTAGCCCAGTCACTGGTGTTGGTGCCATTCTGGGCTGGTGGTCCTGGGTTCTATCAGAAAGCAGGCTGAGCAAGTCATGGGGAGCAAGCCAGTAAGCAGCACCCCTCCATGGCCTCTGCATCAGCTCCTGCCTCCCTGCTTGATTTCCTGCCTTGTTTGAGTTCCTGTCGTAACTTCTTCAATGATGAAAAGTGATGTTGAAATATAAGACCAGTGAACTCTTTCCTTCCTAAGTCGTATTTGGTTATGGTGTTTCATCATAACCGTAGCAACCCTGTCTTTGGCTAAGACATTGGCCAAACATAGTATTCAAAGACTCAGAAATGAAAATGTTATCCAGTGGAATTGACAAAAGTGGAGCGTGAGCCGTGCTCATCTTTTCAAAGCTGCAGCAAGCTGGTGTGTGTGCACACTGCTGGCTTTATCCTGTGCGACGCTCATGTGTGCGCACACTGCTGGTTTTATCCCGTGCGACGCTGGTGTTTGTGCACACTGCTTACTTTATCCCGTGTGACTACACACCTCCTTTGAAAAGTGTAGCAATACTACAGCATGGATAAAGGTTTGAATACCTTTTCTCCCAGTCCTTTGGAATACTCTGTATCCCAAGGAAACTGCAGTCATGGTCTCTTAGGTACCAACATGGGGAGGAAAGGGTTATTTTAAAGCTTCCCATCCTTCATAAAGGGAAAACAGGGCAAGAACTTGGGGTGAAGACATGGAAGCAGGTCCTGAAGAGACCCTGGAGGAGCACTGCAGACTGGCTTGCTCCTTAGGGCTTTCTCATATACCTGGAGCACCCGCCCAGGAGTGGTGCAGTGGTGCCGTCCGTAGTGGTCTCCACCCTCCCTTGTCGGTCATCCACAGGCTTGCCTGCAGGCTAGACTCATGAGGACAGTTTCTCAGGTGAGATTCCTTCTTCCCAGAAGACTTTGGCTTGTGTCAGGTTGGCAACAATTGAGTCGGCACAATAGGTCAGGATGTCCGACCTATTAATTTCCTTTTTTTTTTTATGTGGATTTTGGGGATTGAACTCAGATCCTCTAGCTTGCAAGACAAGCACATTAGTGACTGGGCCACCTTCCCACCTTATCTTTAAGGGCTGGATTCCCGAATGCCAGGTCTCTT